TCCCTCTCCCCCTTCACCTCCCTCTCTCCCTCCGCAGTCCCCTCTCCCACACGGCCCGTGTTCGTGTCCTCCGAGAACTCTTCCGAGGAGCCAAATTCATCCACATCAGGTATTCCTTCCTCCCTCCCTTCTTCCCTCCTTTTGTTTCTCTGTCCCTCCCTTCCTCCTCTCTTTCTTGTCCGTCTTGTATGGATGCTTCAAGTGCCTAAGACTTCTTTTCCTCTTGCTCTATCCCCTTATTCGTTCTGATTTCCCCCTTGCTGAACATGGAATTGGCTTTCCATTTACTTGTTTCATCCCTCTCTTTTTCCCTTCTCTCCTAGCGTCCCTCCCTCTTTCCAATTCTTTCCTCTTTCCATTCCTCTTTCCGTCGGATCCATTTTTCCTTCCTCGTTATCCCCATATCCCAGTCGCGATCCCTACGAGATCTACCGGTCTGCCCAAAAACTGCACGAGAAGCTCCTGATTCAGTGGTGCCTGCAAAGACCACCGTATGAAGTATGTAGCTTCCCTCCCTCCCTCCCTCCTTCCCTCTCTCTCTCCCTCCCTCCCTCTTTCCCATTTCTTTCCCCATCATTGTTTGGGAGCCATCCTTTAATTCTTTTTCTTGCTCAAAGTTTTCTTCCTCTTCCTTTTTCCCGATTCCGCGTCTCCCTTTTCTCTCACCTCTTTTCTCCATTCTTTCCCTCTTCCTCACACCTTCCCTCCCTTCCTCCCTCCCTCCACTCTCCTTTCGCAGGACAAAAACTGGATTAATGGCAATACCATTTCTCAGTTTCGGCGCATGCATGACGCTAACTTCCAGGTCGGCCTCAGTCCCTTTGTTTCGTGTTTTTCTTTCGTGTTTTCCCCCGCGATATCTCACGGCATCCATCCTCTTCCTCCTCCACTCCCCTCATTTCCCTCCCTCTTCGTCTCTTCCCTTTTCATCAGGATATAAAGCTTCTAGGGCCAGACGAGCTCGTCGACATTCGCTACGCCGATATCCTCGCCAACCCCATGGAGACTTTGAGGAGCATTTACGAGAAGCTCCATATTGACCAGTACGCCTGCTTTATCTCCCGCTGGCTTTGCGTTTCGCTCCTTCCTTTCGTACCTGATTTCCTTTCTCTACTCTCACGCTACCACCTTCATGGCCTGCTCTCATACTTTCTGGATTCATTTCTTCTAGTCCCCTTCCCCGTACCCTCTTCATAAGCTTTGACGAGACCTTGCGGCCCGCCATTCTTGCTTATCAGGAGGCCCAGAAACAATTTAAGGTCAATCAAAACCAGAAGCTGAGTAAGGAAGAGAGGGCAGTTGTGGCAGATGTATGGGCAGACTACTTTGCCCATTACAAATACAACCCATGATCCGGCCTGTCCTGCCTCCGTCCTCGCTTTCTTGTCTCCTTTCCTCCCTTCTTCTCTTCTTATTCGGGGCCGACAACGCGGACGGAACGAGGGGGAAATGCCCTTACGTCCTTCCAGTTCTTCCAGCCTTTCTTGCTCCTTCCTCATTTTTTCTCGTCCTCTGTTGACCACCGCGATGACTTTTATATCGTCAGCTAAGAGTAGTGCTGGTAATACTTTGACGCTTAGAAAAATGAGAGGAAAGGTAATCGACAGTCTCTTTGGAAGGCGAAAGCTATGATTAGATCGAGAGGTGATTGGTGGCCACAGTAAAGCGAGTAATTTGTATCTGGGAAGAAAAATTGTCTCCAAACAACAAAGTTCTCAGGTCTTCGCTTTCATGGTTCCGAGACTATGCGGATTTTGGAAGAAAGCAAAACTTGAAAAAGCAAAAAGTGGTGACGAAAGAAAGGTTTCTCCTGACGCGAATAGAAGAATGACATGATTATGACGCTAAGGGTGACGGGAATATAAGGAATGACATGATTATGACGCCAAGGGAACAAGAGATCAGCAATAGGAGGTTGAGAGAGCCGTTCAAGCCGTTTTACAGGAGTACATCCGTTACAGCCGTTATACATGATAATATCCGTTATGGGCTCTACGGTCTGT